CATTACATCAGTGATAACAGGCTCCACTGTCATCTACCCCTACAATACTGCTCTTACATTTTTGATATCTACAAGCAGGGACATCCAGTTAAGAACAGTCACTTCCAGCTGAGTAAAAACCATCATTGCAAGTCTAATTGTATATGGAGTAATTAACACCAATTTCCATAGTGTAACACTAGCTATTTTGTACAAGAAACAATGCAGTAACATTTTATTATACTTGCTGTGTCTGTGGTTATGTCTGAAGTGATATAACACTAAAACCTAACCTGGCACTCTAACACTTCCTGTGCAAAGTCAAATCAATTCGCGCACCTAACTAATGTGAGAAGTCATTCATCATCAAAAATCCCTGGTATTGTCAAACAGCTTAAATGCTTCTGAGGATTCTGTTAATGCCACAGTGAGTGGCTCAAAAGTCTTGAAAACAGGATGTAGGAGAGAAAAGGGCAGTGTGGGTATTGGAAGGGCATGACAGGACATTGCGTAACACAATGAAAATGCATGGAAACCATAGTCTTTCCCTTATCAATGCACAACACAGATCTTACACTAATAAAAGTGACTGGTGTTTCATTCAATGGATCCAGTAAACCAACAATAATAGGGTTGGGCACCAAGGTAATATGGTAACTCAGGATATTTGAAAATGACAAAGGCGCCAGTTTCATCCCTTTTATTTAAAAACCCTGCTATATAATGTGCTTATAATAAAAACTTGTTATGCGATGAAAGACAGCGTTTCCCCAATGGCGTAGGTTTCATGTCAGTGCCCTGTCAAAATGATCCATTAAGTTTTTTCCTCTGTTAATATAGGGTTTAATATAAAAAGAGAGTCAATGTAGGTAAACAGCAAGGAATACTGCAGTAATTAAAAAAGATGACAGGAAATCACAGGTTTAATACTAATTGTTGGGCTCACCAATCCTAAAATTGTGTAATTCAGTCCCATTAATGAAAACCTGCTTTGTTATAAAAGTGTTGTAACTTGTGGGAACAACCTTCATCACAGTTAAGCTATGCAACATCATCCACATGCCGTTTCAGAATTCCATTGTATCTGCCACCCAACACAAAGTGCAATTAGGTAGTATGGGTTCTCAATTAACGCTGCCGTCACAGCAACGTTTCCACAGCCAACTGCTAAATCTGGTAAACTCATTCACACAGCCACTGATCTTCAAATCCAAGTTTTCCTTCCCCCTTTTCTTTTTCCTCCTACCACCACCTCCTCAGGGAAACTCGTTATGACTTGAAATCCTCTCTAATCTTCGTGGAAACTCAAAATCAACGACTCATTTCCCAACAAGCTGTTTGTTTAAGCTCAGGCGCTGGGCCGGAGGCTTCTAACGGCAGCAGCAACACTCACTGCATGGGGCCCAGTTGATATCTTTGCTCTTGTCCTTATTGAGCTAACATCAGTTTCAAATTCTTATCGCATTTCTGTATTGTTTATGAATGGCACCCTGTTGTACAGAGGTGTGAATGAATGTCACTGCTGTTTGTGTCGCTCTCCCTCGCAGACAGTTTCACTGAACCGCACTCTGCTGCAAATGTGCCGTGTTTAGCTTTCACAATTACTGTGCAACCCACACTGGGACCACTCAATAGTGTGGAAGATTTCCACTATCACTCTTCCGATATGCACTTTACAGGCTGCTAACATAACTCAAAGGAATACAATATCTGCCTTGGAGCCCGATTACAGAAGGCATACACAGCTGAGGGGGCAGGGTGAGATTCAGAATCACTCAGACTAGTGTGGGTAGTCAGCTGTGAATGCAACACCCATTGCTGCCAATGCTAGATTTGCCAGTGGCAAATGCTATTATAGGCACATTGAAAAGAATTCAAAAAACAAATGTATACATGTCTTGTATTACACATAGAAGAGACGGGATGTTCGCATAAGCGTCACAAAGTGTGACACAAGAGAAGTGGATTTTATGCCATAAGATTTGGCAGTTACGTTCACTATATTGCCTGCAGACAAAAACTTCAGCTTTGTCTATGACTGTGATTCATTTAGCCTCAATCCCTGTATACTAGATTAGGTATCTTCTCCAGGACAGCACCGCTAGATGAGACCTAACAACGCTGTCTATCACAGTGCATCAGTGAAACATTGTAGAGTGACATACCCTTGTTTAAACTGGGTCATCATTTTTTCACTGTGAAGGAAAAGGCAGCACCTTATAACTTGTCTGTTGTAGAGAGTGGTGCGCTGCCAGAAAAGATAAATTAAGGCTGTGTACCTAACTCTGTACCTGGCCTTGCTTATATATAGTTGCAGGTGTGCCGATGATAAACACAAGTATATACAACATGGAGCATTTGACCTCAATCTTTTTTTAAAGTTTGCAGTCTACATTTATCTGATAAAAGCAAATTCATATTTTATCACTCATTTTAGAAATCAATTAAAAGTGTCAGTATCCCTTAACATTTTTAATCCAGTGTATATTTCACTTTCGATGTCCAGAGAGGTCATAAGGGCAGGTCTCATTTTGAAAAAACAGGGTTATAATAACCAGAAAATTCAACAAAAACATAAAGTCAATGTAAGAGAATATAGCTTGTGTTGTGTATGTGTCTTGATCAACTCAGTCAAATAAGGCTTCTAAGAATAGGCCAGATAGAGTCAGTACTAGATTCATTTTGACTTTCAACAGTGTGTAAAGGTTATGTGTTAGTGAATGTGATGATACACACTTGGGTACAAGTCACTCATTGTGAAACAAGCAAAACCAAAGAAAATCAATGTAATTCACGCACAAGTGACAACTGTTACACTGCCTTACTGCCAATCCTGCAAGTTGATAAACTGGAATGCAAGGACATACCAAAGAAGTTCATATTCCCTCAGCAAAAGTTCTACTCCAAGTACAGGAGTGCTCTGTAAGAATTTGGAGTTAATTCCATTTAGGGTGGTTCGTTACCAGTACAGGCGCGACTGGTGAAATGCTGGCCTTCCACTTCCCCAGTAGTCTGACAGGGAGATATAGGGTGGCTTCTAAAATAAGAGCTGAATCCACACTCCAGGCCCAGTCACTTCCATATTTCACAGTATGAGGGCCAGAAATGACAAAGCTCAGCAGTTCTCTAATGAGACTGTAACAAATGGGAGGGCTGTATTTGGGTTATTACAACAGCAGCACACGCACACAGGTTTGGATACGTGCTGGTGAGCATGCTTGATAAATTCATAGAAATGCCTATAATTAGAGATACGGGTAGTAAACACCATGGATAGGATGCACCTGCCATGCTTTAATCATAAAAGGTACAAATATTCAGGCTTGTCTCACCTTAATCACAAAGAAAACATATTTCTAACATGTATTGGCTGCAATTATGCAACTGTGCATCAAAACAAAAATAACATATTGTTTCCTCATGTTGCATGATAGAGCACAATCTTTTACTGACAATAATCTGGCTAATATTGCAGTAACATACTCATGAACAGGTGTTGGGCTGAACAATGAGACTGTACCAATCACAGCAGCTATAAATGTACTGATTGACATAACTGTAGATTGAAGAGGGCTAATTGCTCATCCATTAATTTAAAAAAAGCATTTAATACATTCAGAATATAAAGTAGTTGGAAGGACAGTATTTACTGCAGTATTTCCCAGCATCTTGAGCTCAACTTCATACAGTCACGAGCAATTGAGATGAAAGCCAATGATGCAGGTATGACAAATTGTTTTTTAGTACAACAGGAAAGAAATGGATAAAGATATTGTGACTGAAGTAAGAATTTGTCAACTGCAAAACGTCAAACCAGATCACTTGACCTGCTTCTTTTTATCATTTCATTATGGCACCACTGACCTGCTGAGTGTTTCCCTTTTGAAATAGATCTGCCAATCTCTTTACGTAGAAAAGACATAATTATCCATTTACTAGGTGGATATGATCATATCAGAAAGCCTCATGAGGATGCAACCGCCCCTTCAATGTTTCTGCATGATACAGATATTTGTATGTATGTTACACCTTTTATTAATTCATTACTGAGTTAAACTACAACCACATAAATGTTAAGTTTGTATTAATACGACAACAAACAAAACATTCATACTTTAAAACGATTGAAAACGCATATCACATGACCATTCACGTACACTGGTCATGAGCATGCTGGTGTAAACAGGAAGTAGACTGTCCACCCTGCAGTTTGTTGCTTAGTGAAGAAAATCCTACAAAGGAGAATCAGGAGTGGTGAAAAGTTCTGTACAAGAATCTCAGTGATGGGGCTCAAAAACTGCAGAGAGGTATGGACACCAGGCATAAACGTAGCAAACATTATGCATTTTGAAACTAAAATATATTAATGTGGACACAGCTTTAGGCTCTGTGTGTCATGTATCATTGCTTTCTCTCATTTATATAATACAAACAAACTTGCAAGTTGTGCATAATTATTGCGGTGCGTCTTTTTCCGATTTTGTCAAACAGTTGTTCTATTATGACGATGGGATTAAGAGTAGGAGCAGCAATGGTTGTTTGATGGAGTAATTTTGCTTATTCATTGTTGATTCATCAAATCAAGTGCTTAGGTTTATTTTTACAAACAGCTTCCATACAAGATTAATATGCACTTCAGTACATTCAATACACTTATTGAATCGATTTAATAAACGTAAGTTCAGTGATGTGATGTATAATCCAGAGGCACATTCTGCTATACACACACCCAATCAAGTCGATTTGAGTAATTGTGGTTCTTTCAGCCTAGTTTTCAAATGTCAAAAAAATAGAGTAGATGCTGATTTACTTTAACTGGGATTATTTCATGACCACAACTGGGTTATTAAACCTCCACCGTACATGGAGCAGTGATGGTGGGCTGTAAATGTAGATGATCACTGAGGATGAGTAGCACAAGTTACTGATGAACCTGCATGAGTCAACGTTAAGGTATATGACAGCAGAGGAAGGTTGGGTCTTCTGGGTTTAGATTATTTTCTTACTGGAAGTATACTTACTGGTTGGTGGGAGGTGCAGAGAGGGGGAACACCACCTCCTCTTCCTCATACTCCGGTCCATCCTGCATGTCGCTCTCATCCGTAGTGCCGCCGAGCCCCCCGTAGCCTGGAGGAGGGGGAGGAGGTGGTGGCAGTGAGGGGAAAGCAGAGGGCCCATCCGGGCCGGTTGATGTGGGTGAAACCCGACTAGCCGGAGCCTCCAAGGTGGGAGAGCAACACATGCTGCCCGCGGTCCCTGAGCTTGTTCCTTGGAAAGCTGCATGTCCACCTCCTGTTCCGCCACTCCCTGTTGCGGTCAGCCCTGGTCCGGTCAGATCCCCACCAGGCACGAGATAGATCATGCTCATGTCGGGAAGTGAGTCCGGCGATGTGTTCGAATGTTGCCGCAGCGCTGGTGACTCAGTGACTCTCGCCCTGGTCGACTTGGTATAGTAGGGGAAAGGCGCCGTCTCCGGGCCTCCTTCGCCTGCCACCCCTGTCCCTGTCGTGACCGAGCCCGTATCCTCACTGCTGACCTCCGCAGCCATCATTTTGGGGAAATGCGTAGAGGGGAAAAAGTCCAGAAGGGAACCTGCCCTCCCCCTCCGTCCTCACAACACTCCTTCAGTGTTTGGGCTCCGGGGAAACAAAACCAAAAGTTTCTCTACAACGCGTTTAGCTAGCGTTAGCCAAAGAGCTAACTTAGCCTACTTAGCTGCACTAGCGGGCGTTAGCTTCACCTCGCATTCGCTCGCTGTGAGTTAGCCACGCTAACGCTAGCGGGACGGCTAGCAGCGTCGAAACACTTGATGAGTCCTTGCTCGCTATGTCTTCATTGTTTCCTGAGTTTAAAGTTCACACAGAAACGCTGTCTGGAAACTCACATTCAACACGTTTCAGGTAGAACATCCAGTCACCAGTGTTTCCTGTCGCTTTTCTTCGGACTTCACCCTCCGCAGACACACCACTTGTCGGGGAGTGTTGTTTTATTGTCACTGTTGTGTGTAACCCTCGTCCTTTTCTCCAGTGTTGTTGTTGTTTTCTTTCCTTCTGAGTTTCCAGCCGCCTCCGGTGGACTCCACACTCGACCCAGCCTCACTGCCTAGATCCCTGGAGAGGGATATTCCCCCGTGCGTGCTGCCATGTCTTTAACCAAAGTAACACAATCTGGCGTTTACCAGCGAAGTTCGCCTCTTTTTTCTGGGTTTGTGAGCTGGTGGTTGCTCTCCCTCTCTCCCCTCCCTCTCTCCCACTCCTCACTCACCCAGCAGACACAGCCAAGTGAACACCGAGCTGCTCAGCTTCAATCCATGACATCTTCACTCAGCACACTGAGACATGGAACCTGCACCCTAGATTCAACACGACAGGTTCACGTTGCTTAAATAGCATTTCCTTTATTAGTATCTTTTTTCAAAGAACTGTAAAAATGTCCATTCATCAAATTATCCAAAGATAGAAAACAGAAGAAGAAATATGTATGTATTACTGCAATTTAGTATACTTTTACTTATAGCAAATACTAGTATAATAGTTATACCTATCAATATACTGTATGTAGAACATACTATTTTTATTCTAATTTTTACACTGTGTACTACACCTCCCTTGTAAGTTGCAATAGTCTGAATGCATATGTGTGGGTCTATTTCAGTATCTCGTCATACATAATGCACAAACACAGCACACATCTTTGTTTAATCATCCTGTGCCTCTGCACTTTAAGTTCGTCTCTCTACATCTGCAGTAAGAGGTGTATATTATGTCATATTATGTTTTATTAAAAAAAAATTTAAGTCTCTATTTTATTTCCTATGTTATTCTTTTTTATACTTTCACTTATCTTGTCTACCGTATTCTGACTATCTGCTGCTGAAACAAGTGAATTTCCCTGGTGTGGGATAAAAAAATATCAGTAATAGAATTTGATCTAATCACTTACCTTTAATTCTTATATGATATCGTACATTTTTTATTTTTAAAAAATAAATAAAAAATGCCGTCTATTAACTTTTGTAATATATTTAGTGTAAAAATGCATACTTCTAATTTGGAAAAATGAAGCTCCTCCAACTTTTGATTTGCTCTTTGACCAAATATGGAAACACTTCTGTGATCCTGTTTTTGAGAAGATTTGACTTCCTTTATTTTCTTTATTGGAGAACTTGTTCAAACATGACCAGTGAGGGAGGAGATCTGATTCACATTGTGTCATTTTCCCTCTGGAATTACGCTCAGGGTGGGACACTCAAAGGCTGTTAAGTTATGTCGTACTGCGATCAACGTTAATACCTTTTATAAACAGAGAATCTGTCCAACTGATGGATTCCCTCATGTGCAATGTACATAAGGTGTGTTAGTCTACTGGATTGACATCATTCAATTTATGTAATATTCATTCTTTGCTTGGGACTGAAGAAAATATGCATGTGTTCTAGTGGGAGTTTTTAATTACCGCTGTGACACGCTTCTGAAGACAGTTTGAATGCAGCTCTGGCTCTGTGACAGAAAGTCTGCCTGTTCATTGTAGCTATGCTGAGAATTAAATTTTAATATAAGACATGTGGTCGGGACATCCTGTCACACACAGGCACAGACACTGAGGGGCCACTCACTTCTTGCAGGCAGGAAACATTATGGGACAGTGATGGGTTTTGAATTTTTTGGGTGTTTAGAGTGTTATGCATTCATTTCAGGTGCACACTATGGGGTCATACTAATTTGCATTTATAGTTGTCTAATTTTAGCATTGTGCAGAAGGACAATGATCCTTAACATGCAGCCATGAGGCGATCAAGCAGTCGAATGTTTGACTGGCCGAGTCAGACAAATGACCACAACACAACTAACAACCAGACTGAGGATGAAAATACAACCTGAAACAAGCAAGACTTGGATATAACTACAGGGCATCATTAGGGAGGATGTCAACAAATGTCTTCTGATGTTTATTGTTAGTAGACTTGGTTTCAGGGACCACAAATAAAGTTTAGGATAAAATCATTTTGATTTCCTTTACTTTTGGGCTTTGAAATTCACTATGAATTGCAGATATACTTTCTCTCGGAAAGATGCATAAATTGTTAATGTGCTTTTTGAGCTACCTATATATATATATCATATTTTATTGCCCAATGTTATGATGAAATTGCAAACAAAATAATAAAACTGTTCTCTAGTTACTCACACTTAGAGGCAATATTCATCATAAGATTTTAGTGGCAATTGGCAACTGTTTAAGGTATTCACGTTTAATTCTATACACGATGTATTTAACATATTTCCTTTAGGGCACTGTTTAAACCTGCCCTTAAAACGCAAATGGAAGGGATAACAAAGTGAAAAGTGAAAAGGGCATTTTTAACAAGGTATACATCAAACTCAGCTCACATAACTCAAACTCATTGGCATCTGGAGTGAGCAGAGTGAAATTGCCTTTTTGTAAATTCTGATGGCTCAGCTTTAAAGATCCCTTTAAACATCCATCTGCTGTTTGCAGGCAGGGAGCTTGATTTGTCATCTCCAGTAAGTCAGCTAGAGTCTAACTTTGACCCAATTGAGCTTACATGCTGTCAAGCAGCTACAGTGGTGTGGAGGCCACAGTTGTTCTCCCCTTAAACCATCTAAAACCCAAGATAGATAGATAGGTAGTTAAGTTGGTAGGTAGATGAGATGATGGATGGATAGATATTTGACATCCATTTATCCAAACCTTCTCTGATTCGCAGTGTCCTCAGATCTAATTTGAGCCCATCAGTTCCCTCTCCTCCTCCACTCACACCACTGGAGTGCTCCTCTCCTGACAAATGGCTTCTGACGTGCGCGATGACAGAGGCGGACAGGCCCGGGTGTGAAAACACTATACTGCCACTCAGGAAGGGGCGCCCCCACCTTGCGTTCCCGTGGGTCACTCAGGGAGCTGTGTTCCCCACTAAAGCACAGGCTTCCCCTAAGTCCTGTGACACAGAAGATCAGTGAACTATGAAATCTCAGCGCTGACACTGACTTGACATGCAGCCAAAAGAACCGCTACACATGAAACGCACATATACCCAGTTGTAAACACGCAAACGAACATGTGGTACAAACTGTAGTTATATTCTCAAGAATGCCCAAAAGTACAAATTCTTTTCATTTTGAATACATTTTTTGCAAAATTTCCATTGATTTCTCAGAGAATATTTAATGGATCTTGATGAAAAAAGTACAGCATGTCTAAGATGTAGATCCAAATAAATAAATAAAAGATCTAGTGAATTTAAATGTGGTTTATTGAGGAGACTTTCAGGGTAGAGGTATGCTCTATCCAATTGTCCTTCTACTTGCAACTGTATTTACTGCAAGGCCTGGCTGTAAGCTTCAAGGCTACTATAGGTCCAGAAGGCTCAAGTCCTCATTTGGCCTTATATGGTGCTGCAATCTTCAGGGTCAGCCTGGTGGAGAATGGCGGAGCAGCCTGGCTGTTCTGCTCTGTTTCACCATAAATGTGTTGTCAGATATGAGGATGGGCACTGATTTGAGTACCACAGGAGCTTGACTGGGTGTCGGCTAAGGGCTCTCATCCATATTCATTGTCAGTTTCGTAACACTTCATTGCCTTTGAAGATAGCACGTGGGAAAACCACCACCCTCCTACGCTGTTGAAGACAATTATGCTTTTCTTTGCATTTTGCTGATGTGTTTCTAGGGTGAAGCAGTGGCGGAATGTCTTTAATGTAATTTACCTGCGCCAAGGATGTTATGTTTTCATCACATGTTTGTTGGTTAGCAGGAGTATGCAATACTACTACTAAATTGAGGGGTGGGAGGATCTACCCATCCATCCATCCATCCATCTGTCCATCCATCCATCCAAATCTTTGTCATAGTCTCCAAAACTTGTGCTCTTAACAGAAAGTTTTAAAAAGTTGTCCCAGTGCACTGAAATCATGACACTTAAGAGATGAATCATACAAAACATATTCCCAAACATAACCGATAATCATCCCAGTGTGAGTTTGACTCTTAATGCACAACATTGATTTCAATTTTAGCTAATGTGTGTGTATGAACAGCAAACACTGCAGTACGTCCTGGCACGATCTGAGACATATTCTCTGAAACACACTGCAGTTATCTTTTCAGATGGCTGCTGAAAGTTTCATGTTACATCTCTCATATTCACATGTGACATTAAACTTTAAGCGCCTGGTTAACAGTGGACATGGCATAGAGGGGACGTTTCATAAATCCCATGAAAGCAGTGTTGCAAAAACCAGGCCCTCACTCTTGAGGACCTTTGCTCACGCAATCCATCCATGTGTCACTCACTCCCGTTTTTAAACTTTCATGTTAATCCGTTGAATTATTCACACGCGTCCTGGTGTGCCTATGAGTATCCTCTGTATGGGTTAATGTGTTAACCTCACCTTAGACGCTCTCCATTTAAACTTAAATAACACACAGATGGGTTTGTGGGCATATATTATAAAGATTTTGCTGAAGAAGACATGCATGATTGTGAGTGTGTGTGTGTGTAATCTGTGTGTGAATGTAAGAAGGTTCACAGAAAGAGAGACTAGGAGAGGAAGTCTGTGTGCATATATAGCCTGTCACACTCATAGACAGATAGACAGATAGACAGATAGATAGATAGATAGATAGATAGATAGATAGATAGATAGATAGATAGATAGATAGATAGATAGGCAGGCAGCTAGGCAGACAGACAGACAGATAGATAGACAGATAGATTAGATTTGGTTTGTGAGTGTATGAGGTGACATTTCCTTGAGGGTTGTGGTGCATGTAAAACAGTGTCAAAAAACAGAAGTACATGAAGCCCGCTGCATATCTGTGTCTCTGTGTGCAGCATACTCTTGGTGGTGTGTTTCCCTGCCCGCCACCTTGTCTTGTAATATTCTATTTGGGCCTGGATGAGACCTCTGCTGGCGTTGCCTCAGTGTGTGTGATGTGCCCGGCCTCTCTCTCTGTGTCAGTGAGTTACTAATGTGTTGTGTAGGCTACGGCACAGTCTGCTGCTCTACACCTCCTGCAGTTCCCAAAGGGAGTTGGAGAAGGCAGATGGGAAGGCCACTGTGTTGCTTTATTTGTGGATAATTGCAGGTTGTGCGTGTCCACACAACACACACACTTGGTTCATGAATTGACTTAATTTCCAAACAGTGTGAAATTCGTAATAAAGACACTATTCATTCTTACACTGACATGCATCTGAAAAAATGATTAGTTTAGTAGCGCTAAAAGCCGTTTTCTCTCTCCTTTTCTTTTAGTTCGTTTTTGTCTCTGCAATCTCACTCACTCACTCACTCATTCATTCAGCCAGACACAGACCAACCAGGAGA